AAAAAAAAAAAAAAAGAGGGATGGGAGCATATTAAAAGGACAGAGGGGCCGGGATTTAGCTCAGTGGTTCCGCCCCCTGCCTCACAAGCACAAGGTCCCAAGTTCGATACCCGATACAAAAAAAAAAAGGAGCCAATCTGAAAGAGCTTCTGAGAGCCAAAGATGGAACAATCTGAGCAAGAAAATAACAGTATTGGATACCAAAGAATAAAATAAATAGTACTCAAGGACCTAGACTAATATAAATAAATGTTTAAACAAAGCAAAAAAAAAAAATTAAGGAAAAAGGTGTGACTTTCTTCCATGAAAATCCCAATTAAAAACTATATAAGAAATGAAGGAAAAAGACCTTTAGAATCCCACAGTAAGATGCTATAAAAGTCAACCTTAGTATTTTCTTTAAAGACAAAAAGCATATTTGCATAGTCACAAAACATTCCCCCAAAACTTCAACATATTTATTAATCACTGTGGTTGTTTTAACACGTTCACAAATTCTTTTGATAATCTTCCTCCCCACACCAAGGATGATATTGATTCTATTCCCGTAATAGTGGATTGAAAGACCTGCTTCTAAGCAAAAGAATATGGGAAGAAAAAAAAATTGGCAGCTTTAGTTACTGACCTAGTTAACCAAATCATCAAGATTAGTAAGACATAGCCACACAACCTCCTCCCCATATTATATAATGCAAAAGACATCGATATCTTCCATATACTTTCCTTAACAATTTATAACTTCAGTCTAATCATGAGAAAACATCAGGTAAATCTGAAGTGAGGAACACTTTACCAAATACCAAATCTAGTACTTGTTAAAAAAGTATTAAGGTAATAAAAGTGAAAGAGAGAGAAGGAAGGAAGGGAGAGAGGGTGGAAGGGAGAGGGACAGGCAGAGGGAGAGAGGGAGGGAGAGGGAGGGGGAGATGGAGGGGGGAGAGAGAGAGAGAGAGAGAGAGAGACAGAGAGAGAGAGAGAGAGACTGCAGAAGCCTAAGGAGCCATGACAAATAAATGTAGTTCTAGATTTAATCCTAGAAGAGAAAAAGTAATTCTCTGGTTTAATTAATAGTATTATAATGATGTTAATTTCATAGGTTTTGAAAGTTACTGTGGTTATATGACAAGTCAGCATTTAAGGAAAACTTGGTAAAGTGCATAGGAGAACTGTACTATCTTTGTAAAATTTTCTATTAAGAGCAAATTTATTTCAAAATAAAAATAAAATATAGTTGTAGGGGAAAAAAATAAGGTCACCTACAAAAAAAAAAAAAAAAA